CTGCGGAAAGGACGGCTGTTCCTCTTCTCACAGCCTACCGCACGGACGAGGGGCAGCCATGGGTCTTGCCGGTGGTGAAAAAGGTGGAGCAGATGATAGCCAATGACAACAGCCTGAACCACGAGTACCTGCCCATTCTGGGCCTGCCCGAGTTCCGAGCCAATGCCTCCCGGATCGCCCTGGGTGACGACAGCAGCGCTATCAAGGAGAACCGGGTAGGTGATGTAAGGGACTGAGACTGCACCTTGCTGGGAGACCTACTGGCATACCTGAGGCGTCTCTCTAGCAGACCGAGTGAAACAGTGCTATTGTGTGGCATAATGGTATTTTGGCAGGATTTGAGGACTTCTCTGACATGGTCTTTGCTGGTTGTATGTTGCCTGATGAACCCATGTCCTCGAAGCTGTTCGTGCAAGTAGTTGTAGTTTTTGGTAAAGGCAACATATGCTGCTATTGGAATTTGTTTTTTCTTTCATCTTTTATGGTTGTTCTATGGGAAACTGAAGTCACATAATAGACCACCTTTCCTAAAATAAGCTACTAGATGGGAATCTGTGCCAAAAAGTGACAGAAACAACTGGAGTCTATTTATAACTGTTGAAGGTGTCAGGGTAGTCCTGAGCACTGAAGGAAGTTGAAGATCACTAGAAGGGGATGGTGTCCTGGCTGGGGTGACCCCAGGGAGCACATCTGGGAGTCCCATCTTGCTCTTGCAAGCACCTCTGTTCTCTGGGCACTGATAGCCAGATTGATCTAGGTGGACCCTGCTGGCAACTCTCTCTGTTACAGATTGGAAGTGTTCAGTCCTTGGGTGGAACAGGCGCTCTGCGTATCGGTGCGGAGTTTCTGAGGCGGTGGTACAATGGAAACAACAACACAGCGACCCCGGTCTACATCTCCTCTCCATCCTGGGGTGAGTGCTGTCGTCAGTGCTGCCACCTCCTCGCAGGAAGCCCTGTGGGTCAGTGGGTGAGGGAGAAATGGCATGGGCCTGGGCAGTGAGAGAGGGGTCTTCCCCTTGTGAGTAAAGGGTGATACTGGAACTGGAGAAGGTGGCTTGCTGGAGGTGTGGTGCTGCTTTTCTGAAATGTGATTTCTTTCCTCAGAGAACCACAACTCTGTGTTTGTGGATGCTGGCTTTAAAGATATTAGAACCTACCACTACTGGGATGCTGCCAAGAGGGGTCTGGATCTCGAGGGGCTGCTGGATGACATGGAGGTGAGTAAAACTGGCATGAGACAGGCTGAACTTGGTGCTGTGCTGTCAGCAGCTGGCTGGGCTCTTGTCTGCTCTGCCTGGAAGTAGATGTCTGCTAAAGAGACTACAGGTGCCCAGAGCAGCTTGGGGCCTCTCCTTCTGCTCTGGGTGCTCAGTCTCATCCACGTGCATGACCAAGACCTGCTCTCTCCTCAGAAAGCCCCAGAGTTCTCCATTTTCATCCTTCATGCCTGTGCCCACAACCCAACAGGCACAGACCCTACTCCTGACCAGTGGAAGCAGATTGCTGCTGTTATGAAGGTATGAGCTGCTGCTGGGGCTAAAGCAGTGCTGAAGGGACAGATAGCTCTTGAGCAAGCAAGAGTACTTGGATCCAAAATGGGCTCTAGGGACTGGCATGAGATGTGGCAGGAACTGGAACAGGGAAGGTGTTGAAGGGAGAGGCTGACAGGATGCTGGTTGTCTGTGCTGAGAGGACAGAAACATACCAGTTCTGCTCATGCCTCCAAGTTCATGCTTTCAAACTCTGTGACACATGCCGCAGTGAGGTTTCTCATGCTGGAAAGATTATCCACAGGCACCTGCCGTGGTGCTAGACAGTAGGATATAAGGTGGTGCCTCTCTTATACCTGTCTCCTTGAATGCAGTTTTGACCTTTTCTTGACCACTTTAGTCTTTCTATTCCTTGACCCCAGTAGAAAGAAAATAACCCAGTCAGGTGTTACTGGACCATGTTTCCTTTGTAATTTGCCTGGAAGCATAATGGTCATTTTCCCCTCCTGTGGGGCCAGTGGGGTGTAAAGTGAAGGTCGTGGGGAAAACTCTAACACTGTTCCTCCTTGCAGCGCCGGTTCCTGTTTCCATTCTTCGACTCAGCGTACCAAGGTTTTGCCTCTGGCAGCCTGGACAAAGATGCCTGGGCTGTGCGATACTTTGTCTCCGAGGGCTTTGAGCTCTTCTGTGCACAGTCGTTTTCCAAGAACTTTGGGCTCTACAGTGAGTGTCTGGCAGTAAGCTGGCCCAGTAGCATCATACCCAGACAGATGGGGCTCGCATGCTGGGGGGTGGGGAGAGCTCCGCTTTGTAGTGATGTGTGGGACCAGAGGGTAACATCTCTCTGCTTATCCACAGATGAACGTGTGGGGAACCTGACTGTGGTGGGGAAGGATGCAGACAACGTGCAGCGTGTCCTGTCCCAAATGGAGAAGATTGTGCGCACCACTTGGTCCAACCCTCCCTCTCAGGGAGCGCGCATTGTGGCAACTACACTTTCTTCTCCGCAGCTCTTTGCCGAGTGGTACGTGTCGCCAGGGCTGGTGGGAGAGGTAAAGGGGGGAAACTGTCTCTGAGTGCCAGACTTGGCCAGATGGCTCCAAACCAGACAGGTGCCTGTCCTCATGCTTAGTTTCCTGCCTGCTGCAGGAAGGACAATGTAAAGACGATGGCAGATCGGGTCTTGCTGATGCGGTCAGAGCTCCGGTCTCGCCTGGAGTCTCTTGGGACCCCGGGCACCTGGAACCACATCACAGAGCAGATTGGCATGTTTAGCTTCACAGGGTTGAACCGTAAGTACCAAGTGGTCTGGTGAAGGGAGGATTGGGTGAGGACAGTTTTGCTGGGGGTGAACTGGGTTCGAGTAGGCCAGGCTGGAATCAATCTGGGACCTCACTGGAGTCCTAGCTTCACTGTCTCTGGCTAGGCAGGGATGCAGCATCAGGCAGCATTTCAGTGGCCAGTGCTGCAAGTTTTTTGTTTGCTGTGAAAGATTCAAGCAGCTCTGACTGGTTCTTTGGGCTTTTCTGAGCTGTGGGGTCAGTGCTCTGACCTGATGTCCGATTTTTTCCCCAGCTAAGCAAGTGGAGTATATGATCAAGGAAAAACACATCTACCTGATGGCTAGTGGGCGCATCAACATGTGTGGCCTGACTACCAAGAACCTGGACTATGTGGCCAAGTCCATCCATGAAACCGTCACAAAAATCCAGTGAAGCACATGAACAACCAAACTTACATGAAGTCACCAAAGCTGTAGTGTGTAGTCCACGTCTTTCCCTGCTCATGGCTTGCCTTGTCCCACACCTCCTGGGGTTTAATAAAGACAGGAGAGCAGTAGCTTAATCGGGGATAATAATTCTTTTGACCTTTTTGAAGTACCCCTTGCAATAAGGTGGGTAAGCCAGTGCCTCCAGGAGGGTGGGGGCAGCATGAGCTGCTTTGACTCTTGTTTAACTGACAGCAGCCTGTTCTTCAGGCACGTAGAGCTGCATCTTTAGCACATCCAAGTCAACTACATGTAACAGATCAGTTTGATCTAAGCAAAGTCTGGTGCCAGTGCAATGCGCTGTGGGATAACAGCCCAGTCAGTTGGGATCTCGTGCAGCTTATGGACTAATGCCTCTCTGTAGTATTTTGGGGAGGGAAGAAGCTATTGCTGGCTTTTTCCTACCCAGTCCTGAGCCTTATGCGAGCAAACATTTGTAATTGTGATAATTGCTTCTTTGTGTTGCTGACAGAAGATTAAACCTCCATCTGAACAATACCCCTGCCTCGTGTGATGTGCCTTCAGGCTGTGCTAGCCTCTTCCCAGGCTGAGGTTAAAGCCTCAGCATCATAGTTTGTCCACTGGGTTTTACTCAGTTTGTTTCAAGGTCTCCCTTTCTCCCTTGCAGTGTGTTGCATCTCTGATGATCACGGTTGCTCCCAGTGGGGCACAGTCCTGTTGGGAGTGTGTAGTTTAGAGCTCCCTGTGGCTCTGTGTGAAGCTGGCCATTCCCATCTCCATCTTGTGTTTGTCTTTGTGCCCCCTGCCCGGTGCTGTGCAGCCCACCCTGTCCATCTGTATGTGCTTGCTTCCTGGATAGTTGTGTGTTACCCAGCCATCTGGCCATCTCTCCCTGGCCTGGAGCTCCTGGCCTGCTGCTAATATGTAGAAAAACAGATCTTTCCTGTTCTTCTTTCTCAGCAGGCCCCTGGTGAACCACCATCTATTCCCCCTGGCTTCAGTGGGGCCTGCTAGCAACTGCCTGTGTTTCTGGCACTGAAAAAGAGCTGGGACCATCTGCTGCTGCTTTTTGCAGTCACTGTTTGCAGATCTATTTGTGAGCTGATAGTACCACCTTGACAGAGCAGCCTCCTGCCAAGATCTTGGTGAAGAAAGGGGAGCAGCCCCTTTCCTTGGATCATGCAGTGATGGTCACTGCAGTCCTAATGGATTTTGCTCGTGCTGCAGGTAAAGACAGCAAAGGCAAAATTGGTGCCTTGTTCCCTTGCTGTATTTGCAGAGAGACTGTGTGTGGGGTCTGTGTCCTTTTCAGATTAGTGTTTGTATCATGTAACAAGTGAGCCAGAGGCAGTCTTTCCTCTGTGCAGGTGGGGAGCTTTTTCTCCTCTTGGTATCCATCCACAGCTGGGATGGTTAAAGAATGACTTCTAGGGGTGATCTCAAGAGCTGAAGGAATCAACTCTGCTTGTTATTTCTGACATCTGCCTACACTTCTGTCCTTACAGACCTCTAGGTGTGGAGTCTGGACCACCCCGTGTGTGATCTGTACCAGTGCTTTGCTAGCCTTACCAGCCTTGTATTTCCTAATGAGTGACCTAAATTTCTCCACTTCTGTGGTGTAAGCTCATTACCCATTATCCCATTTACCATGGCAACAGAGAACAGATTATTCCTTTCCTCTTTGCAACAGCTTTTTATGTATTTGAAAATTTCCCTTCTCCCCTTCACATCCTTCACCAGTTAAGATTAAGCGACCCCGTTTCCTTCAGCCTTTGGGGAAGGTTGTTTTCCAGTGCTTGCTTTCCTCTGGCCTCCTTTCAATTGCTGTGTACTTCCTTAGAAAGGCAGAGCACAGACAGGGATGTAGTTATTCCAGCTAAAGTTTTCTCAGCATTGCTGGACTATGAGGTTTCAGTTGTTATCTGTCAGACTGTATTCCAGCACGTGTATCCCACTATTGTGTTTGCAACAGCACGATATTAACTCCTGTTCTTCCCCAGTCCTTGTCTTCACTGCTGTGGTGTAAGTCTTAGCAGTTCTGAGTGTTTTTCTGGCAGTAAGAGTGACAGAGAGCCCAGACTCATGGGGAGAAATTGTGAAGCACTTGCTGACCTGGTCCTCTACCTGCTCCCTTCAGCAGCACCAAGTCTTGTTACTCCAGCCACTTCTGGCTGCAAGTACAAGGGCAGCCTGGCCTGGTGGGAGAGGTTAGCACGTCTGCCCTGCACCCGTTGACACAGACAGGGCATCGCTCAGGGAGAAATCACTTTAATGTTAATATCCCTGTTGCATTCAGCCTCTACAAAAAAACTACTGACTGATCTGTACCAACCCAAAGGCTTGGCGCAAGCCTCCCTTGTACAGGCAGCCGTGCGCGGAGAGGAGGATGGTTGAATGCAGCATTGAGCAGCCCTCCCCAGGGAGGGGGCTATGCTCAGCAGTGAGCTGGGCTCCCTGCCCTGTGCTGGGCAGGGGTTCGGGAGTGCCGGGCTGTGTTGATGTGAGTGTGCATGGCACTAGGCATGGCACAAATGTGTGCTGGGGCCCTGAGCTGTGTGTGGCAGCCCCCAAACAGCACATTCTCCTCATGGTAGAGACCACGTCTATGTAGCACCCAGCTCTGAGGGGCTCTGGGCCTCACTGGGATGGAGATGGTAAATGATGCTAAGGGCAGTTCTGGGTTGGGCCGCCCCTCCCTGCTCTGCCTGCAGGGATACCGTGCCACACACTTCACCTTTCCTTTTTCCACCACTTCCTTGATACCAGATGCTACCAGGGAGCAGCTGGGCAAGGGCCCTCGGGCTCCAGCTAGCTGGTCCAGGCCGCCTGGGTGGTTCAGCCCTGCCAGGGGCACATCCTTTCTCGCCTGGGGATGGGGTTCTGCACAAGTCCTGCAGGGAGGGGCGGAAGGAGCGGGCAGGTGGGCAGCGAGCGAGTGCAGACCTGCTGCTGTCAAACAAGAGCCTTGTGGCAGGAGACCCTCATGCTGCAGACCTGGAAAACACAAGCACAGTCTGGTGCAAGTGGCCAGAGCTTGCCCTCCCTGACCTACTGCTGCTGCTCAAACCTGCAGCACCTTTCCTAGCCAGGACCAGGGATATTGCTGCAGACACAGTTCTTGCTGTGAAAACACAAGTTAGGGTCTCACTCTGTCTCTGACATCCATTCCATGGAGTCTCCTGCTGCATCCCTTCACCCTGCTCCAGCCCCCAGTGACACATGTACCTGCATAGGCTCCAAACCCCATTGTTTGGCTTTGTTGCTTGAAACTTGATTTTACACTATTAAAACTTAGTGACCTCCCATTTGCTGGGGAAAGAATATTGCACCAAGAGGCAGATTCCTACCTCCAGTCTGCGTGGGCCTCCAGCATTGTGCTCTGGCCACGCTGCTGCTCAGGTGATTAATGGGGTGAAATTGGAGCTCTCCTCTGGCGTCTTCTCGCCCTCCGATGATGGCTGCTGCTTGCGCCCACCTGCAGCAGCAAGGGTGCCCAGGTCTGGGGTGTTGGGGGCTAAGGGTGCTCAGGACAGAAGGGTGCATGGGATTGGGCTAAGACCAGGCAGCTGGCTCTGCCTGAACTAGCCCTATGCACAGTTTCGCCTGCTGTTGGGGTGCTGCCAGGGAATTGGGCTGCCCCCACTGCTCCATGCCAGCCTCATGCAGGGCATCCCCAGGATGGGGCTGGAGAGGAGTTGACCTGAGCAGTGGGGTGCCTGGGCAGAGCTCGCCCCTCAGTGCCCCCTCCCCAGGTCAGTCACTCACTGAGGGATCTCAGCAGCCTCCTGCCCAGCGTCTCCTCTGAGCTGCTCGGTGATGAGCTGGTCCCAGCCTCTCTGCCCAGGGATTCTGCCTCCAGGATGGTGCTGCAGCACTCACTGTCTGCAAAAGCCCAGTTTGGCTGCAGCGCCCCAGGGCACCGCAGCCCTCGCCACCCCCAGGGTCATCTGTATGTGTGTCCCCCAGTCTGGACTCACTCTGCAGCTTGCTGTTCTCTTCGTTGTCAGCCAGCTCCTCCTGGATGAAGGGGATGCCCTCCATGTGCAGGAAAACCGACTCACTGGGACTGCGCAGCCCCTCGGAGTGGCTGCCTGCGGGGACATAGGGCAGGCATGGTGGCATAGCATTCCTGTGCCCTGGGACAGGATGCAGTGGGATGCCTGCAGTGGCAGCAGGTCCCAGTACCAGGGACCCCCGGGGAGCAGGAGCGCAGGGGGAACAGGGAGTTATGTGCCTGTTCACTTGCACCTGTGTGCACGTGCAGGTGCAAAACAGCATCCACAAGGTGTGCGTGCAAATGCCCACATGCCCCATGTGCAACTGCGTCCCTGTGGTGGCATGCCTGTCATGCCAGCATGTCCAAGCATGGCATCCCCCCAGGGGACATGCAGCGTTGGCCCACAGCAGGGAAGGGAGGCCACGGAGTGACTCACACATGATACTGTTCCTCTCGTTCAGGAGGGTGGTGGGGTCCTCCTTGGGTGTCTGTGGGGTTTCTCGTGCTGTTGAGGCCTTGGTTGAATCCCTGTCGAAGGCCTCTACGTCAGGGGACTGGGGTGAGCTGTCCATGCGGCTGGCCACCAGCGCATTGTGGTACTGCTGCCGGGTGACCTGGGCACACAGACACACACACCCAGCTCACCGAGCACCAAGCCACCCCGGTACCTCCCAGGGACTTGGTGGCACCAAATCCCCAGTCAGCAGGAGTGCAAGACCCACCAGTGCCCACGAGGCACCCACCAAGCTCCCAGGGGCAAGAGGGTGTGTGGGCAGAGGTGGCCGGCGTGAGACAGGCCCTGCCAGCCCAGCCCATACCTTGACAAACTGCACATCGCAGAGGATGTGCACGGAGTAGTCGGGTGTGTAGATGTTGTTGCTGCTGCTGTGGAGCTGTGTGGAGCTGCCACCGTAGTCGTTGTGCTCCCGGTTGGGGGACTCAGAGCGGTTGAGTCCACTGCACCGTGATGGTGACCTGTTCACTGCAGGACGGAACAGCAGAGGCAAACACCCTCAGTCATGGTGCCACTTGGGTTCCCAGTGCTGGTGCATGGTCAGGGTGGAGCAGTTATCTCCGGCAGCTATGCCTCATGGACACCAGGGCGGGCAGGGGCCCTACAGGGGATCTGTGGTAGGGTCTTCCTTGGTGCACACCAGTGGTGGAGGCTCAGTACTATGTCAGCCCCAGGCAAACCAAAGGGACTGGGCAGGCATCTGACCTGGCGCTGGCAGCAGAGGTTAGGGCCACTGCCTGGCTGTCACCCTGACTGACTGACAGCTCTCTTGCAAATGCAGGCCTCCTGCACAGCATTTGGCACAAATACTCCTGGTTGCAGCTGGCAGCCCATGGGGGTTTACTTAACCTGCCTTGAGGGCACGCTGCTGTCCACTGTGACTGACAGAACAGGAGCAGAGGCTGCCATGGCAAGCTGGCCCATCACTCACATTGACTGATGGCCTCTGACATGCTGTGTGATGGATTTTGTTTGGTCAGTGATTTATTAGGGAACAAAGGCAGCTTGTTCCTTGCACAGGTGACATCAACATCTTGCTGACTTTGCTGCCAGAACACCCTTCTATTACCCAGATGGCCAGAAAGCAAGGGAAGCAGGGCAGTGTGCATGTAGGGCTGCAGGTAACCATTGTCAGAAGCAGCAAATAGCAAGAAAACCCAAGCACCGAGTGTAGGAAATTACAGAAGCTATACACCAAAAAAAGCCCAAGGCATCCATGGCTCCCTCTTGTCCCCATCCCATTGCTCCAACCAGTAAGAAGCTGCCTGGCATGGGGTACTGTCTGGAAGGAGCCCAGCATGTGCCCAAAGCCATGCCCTGTTACCTGGAGAGCCAGCCAGGGAGTCCCCTCTGCTGAAGGCGAAGGTACGGGACACTGAGACAGGCACTGCCGAGAGAGGGGGAAGGAAGGAGGGGACAGAGGAAGGTGAGGGTAAGGGACAGACCAAGAGGAAGAATGAGAAAAAAATACAATGTGCCAGCAGCCCCGGGCTGAGCTCCCACCACTGCCTCTAGCACCCCTTCCCATCCCTCTTACACCTTCTGGCTCGCCAGCCCCAGGGACAGGGACACCAGCAGAGACAGACTTCAATACTGTAAATCAACAGGCTGCTCTGCCGAGGTGAGAGGAGGTGAATCTGGGGGGCACCAGCTCCTGCCAGCCCTGTCTGCACAGCCACACATCTCCCTAGAGCTGTAGTGTGGGCAGGGAGTATCTTCATCCCACTGGCTGAGTGCTGGCACCCCGCTTCAGCCCTTCACCAGCCACTGCCAGGAGAGGGGACTTTGTGGTCAGCTTGTGCCACCTGGGAGATGGGCTGAAGCTAAACCAAGCAAAGGCACCCTGCTTGGGGGCTGGGATGCTTCTTCATCAGTGGTGCAGGGCTCCATGGGGAGCATGGAGAGACCAACACACAGCACTGAGTGATGCACATGATGCACTTGTGAACACCTCCCGGTGCCTCACTTTTGCTCTCACCACTGGCAGCACCCATTTCAAAAGCAGTGGGAGACATGGGCTCGCTGACTGCCAGCCCTCTCCTCCAGCTTCCAGCCCTCCTGCCCCAGGTCCACTGCCCTCCCTCCAGTCACTGTGCCCACAGCACTGTCCACTGCCTATGTGAATAATGTTTTAAAATTGCTTCCAAGGGAAAATGCCCAGGGAATTCACCCTGCAGCCCCCTCCTTCCAATCTCCCTCCTCCTCCCCCAGTAACTCCTGTTCTTTGTTCTCCCCTGGACCAAAACCTTCTGCAAATAAAAGTCCAAGCAAAGGCACCAGCATGAAGTGCTGCCCAGAACAACCTCAATCCAGCCAGGAGCAAAGGACGGGTTGATAACCACAAGCATTCGCTCCCTGCCCTCACTGCCCGATCCGCCTTGGGGCTGGCCATGCCCCTGCCCTGGCCCCCAGTGCCAAAGATTGCCTGGCAATAAAAAAGTTGCATAACAAGGGTTAATTAATAACAAATAGTTAAATTCTCAAGGGTTAACGTCTGCATTCCACGCTATGAGACCCTACTTATACTCATTTCTACTGGGCCTTGGGAGGAGAATGCCAGCCCAACATGGGAGCTGCCCTGTGACCTCTGCCTCCCAGCCTGCCTCCCCGCTGGCCAAGGGTGCGACACCACATGCGTCTCACTGCAGGCAGGAGTGGCCGGATGGCAGGAAGCATCTTGTGACACAGCATCATGTGCGAGCACAGGGAGCACTGGAGCCCCAAGTGTCGGCGTCCCAGCAGGCGGCCCTGAGGACACACATGGCCACACCGACAAGGCTCCCACCATGGCTCGTGCTCTGCCTGGCCCGTGTCCTGTGGGCAGCACTCACTGCCCGAGCCTCGCTGGGGCCTTGGGCACGGTCACAGAGGGCGTGGGGGCATCGGGCCACACAGCAACGTCCCAGGGGAAATTGGTCACTTCATTGATTTCTTCCATCCAAACCAAGCATGGTGCAGATGCACAGGGGAGCAGGAATGTGCCCTGCAGGGTTAATTCAGTAGCCCATGAGCCACCCTTTCAAATGAAAGCAAAGCAAGTAGCACGAAACAGGTAAACCCTAGAGCTACACGTAGACTAGGACCCATGAAAGTGACAGTCACCTGCCCCAAGGGACTCCCCTAGTTCTCTCAACAACATCCCTCCCTACACCTCCCTAAAGGTTGAACTTGGTGGGTTCTTGTTTTGATTAGGCACCAAGCGCATCCTCACAGATCTGACCAGCACTGCAGACACAACTGCAACACCTGGGGTTTAGGATGAGGGATGTGCCGGACTGGGGCACCTTCACCTGCTTCCAAGACACCAGAGACTAAACATTTGCAGCAGTGATCAGCAAAGAAGGGGGGTGCTCAGAGTCTCCCCTAATCAGAACTCCCTCTCAGCTCCTGCATGCAGGGGATCTGCTTATTAACTCATCAGCTCTGCAGGCAGGGAATTTACTGGGACTGGGACACCTACTTTAAACTCAGCTGATTTCCCCCACAACCATGTGCGAACAACTCACAGGTAAATTTACCCATCTCTGCAATTCTGGCATGGGACTCACACTCAGCTCATGCTCTGAGCCTCAGGAATGCAACCGAGTCTAGGGATGTTACACTCAGACCTAGATGCACTATGCCAAGTCACAAGGTTTACTGCTTCTGTGGGCATGAGTGTGCTGCCACCCCTGGGCAGTGCCCCTTGCAGCACCCCTTGCAGTGCCAGCCATGCTGGGATCCACCTGCAGGGACCCAGTGCATGCCTGAAACCTCAAAGGGACCTCAAAGTCCCTCTGTGGGGACTTTTGCTGCATAAGCCTCTCAGCACGTTGTTTCTCCACTGAGGTTTTTAAAGGCAGTGACCTCGGTGCAGAGCCTGAGCTGCTCTGCATGGGGTGCAAACCCATCTCTCCTCCAGCCAGCTGGTATAGCGAAGGAAAGGTTTTAGAGCCCCAGCCTGTCCCAAAATACTTACGCAGGAAGGAGGATCCAGCCAGACTGCCCACTTTCCGCACATCATTATCTGAAACGACAGATGGAGGGCTAAGAATTCCAAAGGGAGGGCTCCTGCCTGCCCCACATCCCACAGCAGGGCCACCCCATCCCATGGCCAGCCCTTTCTCCTAGCCACCAGCTGGTTTAGCCCCATGGAGGCTGCAGAAGCGAAGGCAGGGCTGGAGAGAGTCTTCAGAGTCCTTACCTGAGGAGATGACAGCCATAATGGCAGGAACACCATAGTAGGTGAACGCCCCGTTCTCAAACCGCAGCCCTTCCTTGCCAACCTCCACCTCCACTTTCCCCTGTAAGGATAAAGAAAACCCACTCAGATGGGCACCCTGCACTCCTGGCCACTGACCCACCCAGGGCTGCACAGACCCCCACCACCTCATATGAGAAGACAGGCATTTCCACTGGCAGAAGCAGCCCAGAGCAAGGCTATGAGAAGAAACAGGCCACCCCCTGCCACCCTCTGCTGGTCACTGCCTCAGACACCTGCAGGATGAGGACGAAGTAGTCAACAGGTCGGTTGCGCTGGTAGAGGTAATGCTCCACTGCTTTCTTGTTCTTTCGGTCATATTTGAGCTCCTGGATGACATTGGGGTGTTTCAGAAGCCGTAGCAGGATCTTCTCGGAAAGGTAGGGGGACTTGAAAGGCTCCACTTCTAGAGGGGAGGCAACACATGCTTGCTCAGCAGGGCCAGGGCTGCTGAGAACTCCTTGTCCTCTGAGCTGCATGGCCCCCATTCCCGCAGCCTCAGCACCCCCAAATGCAGACCCACACTGGTGGAGCAGCTAAGGGTGCTGCTGGTGAGATGCTAAGGGTGAGGGTCCAGCCAGGCAGAAACTGCTCCGCTGGGGGGACACCTGACTCAGGAATGGCTCAGGGATGCCCTACAGGGCTGGTACTGCTGCAGGGAGATGCAAGGCTTGCACGGAGGCAAGGGTACCTGTTGCCATGAACCGATGGGTAGCCAGTAGGAGCTGTGGGGAGATCTTCACCTTCATCTCACTGTCTGAGAGCCTGAAGATGGAGAAGTCCTGGGGCTTGCGTCCCCGGTGGGGCACCCGCTCCTTCTTCCGATTGTCCGCTGCAGGGCAGAGAGCAGAGCAGCTGCTCACTTGCAGCACCCACAAAGCCACTGCAGCTGCAGAGCCTCATACCACATATATAGAGATATATACACACGTAAATAGAAAGGCACATCTTGCTGCACCGTATGGAAGGGCTGTGGTGGAGCGTATGGAACATGCCTTGGGAGAAGCTCCTTGGGGAGGGCGAGCAGGGTGGTGAAACACACTTCTTTCTCAGGAACGAGTCCTGGGTTGCCCTGGCTGGATGCATCACCCACAGTTGGAAAGGAGCTTGGGAACCACCCATGGGTGCTTCATGCCCAACACACATGTCCCTGGGTCAGGCCCTGTGCAGCCACCAGCTGCTGATGCTGGTGCTTCTCTATCTCAAACATTCAAGACTCCCTGACATCTGACCAGCATCTCTCCCTCATTCTTGTCTTTCCCACCATGACTGTGAGATGTTGTGAGGAAGGACCATGATTTGCTCTGGCCTGTTTCCTACCCACATGCCTGTCTGTGTGGGCTCCCACCCTAGCTTCTGCAACCACAGTAGCTGCTCTGTGACACTAACTGTACAGATCCGTCTCATCCAGGATCTCGGACTTGATGATCTCCTCAATGACATCCTCCAGAGTGACAATGCCCATCACCTCGTAGAATGGGTCTCCTTCCCCTTCGTTGTTCACCCGCTGTACAATGGCCAGGTGGGATTTTCCTGCAGGGAGAGAGCAGATTGGCAGTGAGACCCCTACCCCTGGCAAGAGGGGTTCCCAGCATGGCAGGCTGGCAGGCAGGCAGGGCTTGGTGGGAGGCACAGGTCACAGCCAAACCTCAGGAGCAGACACTATTGCCCAAACCCACACCAACTGCGCTAACCCAGAGAAAAGGGCTGGACACACAGCCTTCTAACAGGGCTGCTACTCCCCAGCCTGATTTCTAGGTGTCACAGGACTCAGCCTGGCTCTATTTTGAGGCCATTTTCTTTCTTTACCTGGGCAATCTGCTGTGAGTCACTCTGTTCAACTCTTTGACAGCCTCCTGTGCAGGACCAAGGTGTACATTATACCAGCTGCTTCTGGCTTACTCTCAGCTTCACTGGCTTGACACAACTCTAGCAGAGAAGTGAGACAGCATCCTCCAACACAGAAATGTCAGTGTGTCCTTGGGCCCTACTGGTTTCCCTCATCCTCCTGGTGTTTTCTCATTTTGTTGTTAATTATCTTTCCTATCAAATCGTCAGGAACAGCTCCCCACATCTTTCTATCCATCACTGTCTGTCTTAAAATACAGGAAAAGCCTCCAGCTCCTCAGAACAGCAGTCGGTTTTAATGCAGAAATGTGTATGTTTGTTTGCAGCTTTCAGCCCAGCTCCTGCACAACTCTTGGGTGAACCATCTGGATGTAGAGGCAGAATGCATTTCGAGCCATTGGCTTGTACCTGAACGTATCCTCCAAACCCTGCCCCTCATGGCACCTCCTCTTTCTTTCCTTAAACAAGCAGACCAGGACCTTCAGCCACAACGATGGTGACTCCTGCTTGGAAGTCACAGTGTTTCTCAGTCCCAGTCTCAGCCTCCTCACTTGCGCCAGTAAGCTGGCAACTCTGCAGACGCATTCTCAGCCCTCTTGCTTTTGGCATACTTAAAATATTGCTATCTGTTTTCACATGCCCAGCTCTCCATAAGCTGTTTTGACTTGTTCAACTTTTCCCCTCCTGTATTGTCTGCTCTGATTTATGCTTCTACTCAGCAGCTTGACCAGAACCCAACTTCCAAGCCACAAACAACTTCTGTGTTTCCAGCTTCAATGTGTTCTTGGACCTGTCAACCAGCAGCACTGGTTTTCTAACTGCTCCTATGGATCCTATGCTGCTCTGCAGCGCATGTGGGTTCTGAACCTCTACTTTTACTTTAATGATTAAAAATGTCCTTCTTTGGCACCACAGTTAACAACTTCCCCTCCCTCTGTTTGCCCTGCACCCCTGGGGTCTCCTGTTGCAATGCCTGCACAAACCCAACTGTACCATGGGCACTGCAGAGACCCCTGAAAAACTACAAACACCTTTTACCCACAGGCTTGGAGCTGAGCTCCTTGACCAGCAACGGTCACCCAAAATGGGGGCACATTCCTTCTGCCATGCAGCTGTCTCCGCGTCTGCTTCTCTCACAAAGCCTCCCCAACAAACTTGCCTGCTGCTCTGGGCGAGGGGATGGGAACAGTATTTACACATAAAGATGCCATCGGGGTGGGCTCCTGCCCGCTGTACAGCTCTCTCCTCGCCCACTGGTGCCTTCGGGCTCATCCCTGCAGCGGGACCAGGACGAGCGCATCCAGGGCAGCCCAGCAGTCCCATCACGTGCATCTTGCTGGGGACCATGCGACCTTCAAATAACCCTGCCCTGGATCTGAGACGAGCAAATGGTATTTCTCAGCCAAAGATCAGTGCTATACATTTCTCACAGCAAAGCTTGGGCATTTTCCACAGCATAAATCCTCTCCTCCTCATACCAAGCTTTTATTGCAAGATTTCAGAGAGCAGCTCACTGCCTCCCACATCTACAGAATTAGAAACGAGAACATTACATCACAGCAAGTAGCACCAAGATGCACTTTAAAAACCCAAACCTATAGCCTCGGGGCATTGAAAATTCAGCATGTTCTCTGGACTGGGCTATTTCACTCCTTTCATACACAGGTTTGTGCATCTTGTCTGTACAGTGGGTAATAAAGCAACATGACTTGAGACTTAAAAAGAAAAAAGCAGCAGAGTTGGCCACAGGACAGCAGCAACAGCTATGTTTCATCTTAGCAAAGCCCAACTTTTGAAAAGGTCTCCTTTGCCAAACCCTGTTCCCAAACACTGGGGCCATCTGGTCTCCTCCAAGTCCTCGGGTGAGCCAGGAGAGGGGAGAAGTTATTTCTTTTGGCTGAAAGCTTGTTGTTAATGACATTTACATGCAACCCAAAACCACCAAGCCCTTACAAAAAGCTTAGGTGCTACTTAAAGGCAGTCAGAGAGTAATGGGGGCAATTCTTTTTTTGGCTAAACACCTACATCGACACTGTAATTTACTCTAGAGCAGCCTCAGAGAAATGTGATTCCAGCTCTATGTCCACGTAGCGGCTAATGAGATTATTTAGAAATAACCCAGCGCTGTTGGACTGGGAGGAGACCCATAGTTTCACTGCGCTAGGGGCAGAGCCAGGAGGGCTGTTAGAGTGCTCAGCAGTTCTTTATTTTCACAGAAAATAAACACTTGTAGCCACACTTTAAACCCCCAGGTTTAGGTTTCCAGCCACGTTAGAGCCAAAGCAGGTACTCAGTGATGGAAAATTGTTGCAACCCCTGTGATTGCTCCTGGCTCATGCTGAGTGAGCTGCTCCTGGCCCCACCCTGGCCAGCTGATACCCATACCACAAAAACACCCCAAAACCCGCTTCAAACCCTTGTAGAGCTCCCGCAACTGACTGCTGCTCCCAGCTGTACCCTGCTGGAAAAGGGCTGACTTGCCCTGATCTCCCACCTGAGGCACATCAGATCGTTTTCAAAGTCCTGCCCCCCAACCCAGCTGGGTCCTGCGTCTCCTCCCATCACTTTTTTTTTCACAGACTCTGCAAATGTGGCAGCAGGGGTGGTGGTGGGGCTGCAGGTGTCCTGGCTGTATGGCTGTGGCTTGCTCCCTTGTGGGTTGGGGATGCTCCCAAGCTCAGCTGTGTCCCCCTGCCCAGCCCTGGGAGCTGCTACACGTGCATAGAGAAAAAGCAGTGGCTTCTGGGGCAGAAGTTGGGCAATTTTATGAGGTGGAAGCAAGGTCCAAGGAAGGGGGGCACAAGGACAGACCAGTGGCTGTCAGAGGGGTCACATTCCCTCGGTGGGAGTACAGCAGAGGGAGATAAATCATTTAAACAAAACCCTGAACTTGATCTAAACCAGCTTTAAGATCTGTAAAACTGATTCAAAAAAACTGTGGTATTGTCACGGTTGCCTGACAGCTCAAATGAAACTAATTATAAGGGTTAGCTGCTTCCCCACTAGCAAGCTGTCATATGTGAATTTTACAGGGCTGTCGCTAATGCAGGAAAACGCAGTGAAACACTTGAGAATCAAAGCCTTGGTTTGGCAAATGCTAGAACAAATGGGCAATTAACTTTACTTGTGTGAATAGCTCTGCTGGCCTCTGCAGGACTGCTCTCACACAGGAAGTCTATAGGTGATTAAGTGTCTGCTCAGCATGGGATACAACTGTACTAAATTCTTTATGAGCTACATGAAATCTGCTCTTTTCAAACAACAGCTTCAGTGGAACATTAATGCCTCAAAATGCTAAATTACAGAGCTAATATAAACAGCTGAAAGCTTCCGGATGGAGCAAGCATCTGAACAGCTATCTAAAGCTTTTATGCCCATTTTTAGGAGCCTTGTTTTTCATAGGTACCTAAAAGACTTCGAGCTCATAGATCCACCTCAAAACGTCCTCCCTGATGGGAGGACAGGGTCTGAACACATGGAAATGCCTTTACTTGTGGGAAAGAAAGTGCTGTTGGCTGCAAATATAGCCCAGACTACTTCCTTATCATTTTTTTATGTAGGTGCTCTGCCAGAGGAATGTTAAAGATGCTTTAGCCTTGCCTCTCATTCCACAGGATGAGCATTCTGAGCATGAAATTTATTTTCATGAATTTTACGGTAAAATCTAAAGCCGTTACTAGGAGATCAAAGGCACAGGCAAAGCCATGAACCATTTATAGCTACAAAATGGAAGGCAAAAAAAAAAGAGCAATTGGTAAATAAGGTTGATTCATTAAACAACCATGTTGTAATTTAAATCTACTTTCTATGTGCTTTTCTCTCAAACCTCTTCTCTGGGTCAGGGGCTGCCAGCATCTCCATCCCCCCTCACAGACCTGCATCTGAAGTAAGTGGGGACTGATTTGAACAACTTGAACTGGAAACATGTGTGCGAGTGTGCTCTTGTGTTACCACAACTCAGCACCAAGGGGGAAACCATATGCCTGGGGAGTTGCACGTAGAGGCAATGTACATCTACACCTAAACAGGGGAAATAACCAGGAGGGCTGCAGGGGCACCCAGCTCCATGGGAAACCAGAGCTATGTGAAGGGAAAGCTGTAAAACCTAATCTAATCCAGACCTTCCTCAGAGATGAAAACTTCATCTGTTTGTATCTGTATCTAGTGGAATACAAAAGCCTTTCTCATGCTCTGCTTTGGTGCTTTTCCTAATACTAAGGAAAACTGGGAGAAAGATGGAATATTTGGTATAGCTGATGTATTACCATTGACAAAAAAGATCAGGAGGGTAAGGGGGATATTAGAGGGGACACTGAGTCTCATCTTCCATCTGCTGTACAACAGGCCTCTAACCTCCTGGGTATGACCTGCCTGCCCACAAATGATCCGTTCCCCTGCATGTTACTTGGAGCCTAAGGAAGCCTACAGGGATGCCAAGGGTTTTTCAAGCAAAAAAAACTTCTATAGAGCCAATGGAAAACTGTTTTCATTGGTGTCTGTAGCATAAGCCACTTCATTCTTTCCCACTGCTCAGTCTGAAGGTGCCTTTTACAGCTCCCAAGAGGGAGATGTCCAGCTAGGTGCCCTCTCCCTCAAGGACACAGCATCCCTCTTGCTTTGCTGAAAGCCTCCCTGGAGCAGGCCTGCTCATGGGCTTGCTGGGGCAGGGTGAAGTAGCCCAGAGT